CAGTAGTAGGCTATTAATACATTTTTAAGGAGTAAAAAGCATTATGTGGGTTTTCAACTGTGTGTGGGGGATTCAGAACCCCTAACACATTGTTCAAAATTCATCTATAAATACTTTGGTCTGTGATAGCTGTTGGATGTATGGCTACTACTCTGCTGTGGTAGTGCAAGGTGATCATAGACAATAAGGAAACAAGTAGTTGTGCCTATGTTCCAATACAACTCTATTTACCAAAATAGTAGACAGATTAGATTTAGCACTCATTGGTCCTAGTCTGTCAACCATTGTTACAGAGGATCCAAGGCAGTGCCTGAGGCACTAAAACTGTTATATCTGAGAGGAAGTTTTACTGTAAATCGTTATATCTTAGAGGAAGTTACACTATAAACTGTTACATCTGAGAGGAAGAGAGTTTTATTTATTTGAAAATAATGCAAGAACCTAGTAAATGCAGTGCATACAACTCCAAAGTAGGCTTTTAAAGCAAATGAATGACTAGTTCTATGGTTGTATATAAACCCTAGGTAAAGTACTCTATTTGAAGGCAGTAGGGCCAAGAAAGAAATGTGATTTTATCCTCAGAATGTTTAGTGCAAACTTGAGTTTTCTAGGCTTTACCAAAATATAAGCTGTGAAACTACTTTAAACTTGATAGTTGTAATTAAGATGTATGAATTAAAGTGGCCTTAAACTAGCCAACTTTCCTTCTCTTTTATTTAAAGATCCTTTTTAAGTTTCAAGGCCTTGAGTGTTGAGAATTATTATTTAACTTATTTAACTGAAATTCTAACGTATCAATGAAAAGGTTTTGGTTAAAAAAGAGCCTACATAATACCATTTGGAAAAAAATTGCATTTGTAACATAATTTTTAGGTGAAGCATTAATTTTTAGAAAGAGGTAAAAACTAGATGATCATCTGTCAGATTTGATTTATTGAGCTTACTTCACTGAGTAGAGGACTGAATGACTAATGAATGCCTCTACAAATCTGAGAATCTCTATGTCTAACTCTGGGATAACAGCTGATTTTCTACCATTAAACTGTGAGTATAGACATTCTGGCTGTGTAACTGAAGAGTCCCAGCATTAGAATTACAGTAGATGAGCTATGTTTCTGAGACTTTTCTATTGTTCTGAGTTTGCTAATGCCTATGCCTACACACATACACACCCCTAGTCTACTTCATGTATTACTTTCACATTTGTATTGAGTAATGTCACAGCAGAATATACTTACTACTGTGCACACTTTTCTCTGCTGAATCTGTCAATCTCCTATTACTGCTTAAAAAGTCAAAATATTGACATAAACCCACATAAAATAAAAGTTGCTATTTGTATAAATTATATACAATACCCAGAGGCACTGAGCATCTTACTGAACTAGTAACAAATATATTTGCACTATATTATAATCCATTCTCAGTTGTACATGATGTTAAGTTTGCTGTTGCTCCTAGGAAGAGAACAAAGATTGTCAATTTAAAGATAAATGAGAACAGATGTGAAAAAAAATGTTAGCATATTACAGAAGACTTACAGAGATCTAAATTTAGAATTATCTTCAATTTACATCCATCATTAATTTTTGTATGTAGTATGGCTTTCCTTGGATATAACATACTAAAACATTTGCTCTCTATCACAGATTGAAAACAGATGCAAAGTAAAATAATATTCATTCATAAGAAATGGAAAACAAATGTATTTCTCATAAGAAAAGCAAATGTGATCATTACAAGGATTTATATGTATATTTAAATATTTTAAAATTATTGCTAGTGTATGCTTTGCCTTTTAAATTAGCACTTTTACTTCCAAGAGATGTTTATCTCCTGTCATCATCTTGAGGCCCTATAACTTGAAGGATACGGAAACTAAGCAACATATCCGAGTTTAAAAAGTCAGTCCTAAAACTCCTGTATCCTGTATCCACTAGCACATGTAGACCACATCTTTTCATAGCAAGATACGGTAAGATTTTCATTATCTATCCAAAGTAACCTTTCATCAATCTTCTCTTAAGCATTTCTGAATATTCACTCTCATTTTATGTTTTTGTACCTGGCAGACCTTCTACTTGAATATTCTCATTCATCCTCTGTCTGGAAAACTCCTTTTTTTTTTTTTTTCCATTTTATCAAAACCAGCTGAAAAGTCAGTGCAAGTTCTCTAGGCATTAAGTTGTTCTTCCTCCTTTTGAGCTTCCAAGTACTGATTATAACATCTGTCATGTTGAATTACAATTATTTTTCTATCATTCTGCCTTCAAATATCTTACTTTTGCATGAAAAATAAATAGCAATGAATTTTTACTGGGAAAAATAAAAGGATTATGTAAGTTATTCTTAGTTCACAGATTCCATATTAAAATGTCATGATATTTCTTATTCCTTTTTTATATAGTATTCTCTCATGAAATACTTAAGACTTTTTTTTCTTTTCCTAATCAAAGTGAGAAAATAAAACACTACTAATAGGGAGAAAAATCTTATTTTTAGTAAATACGAATCTATAACCTATGACATCAAATGACTCCATCTGTTCTTAGATTTTTTTCAACAAAATTTTGCACATAGCAATTGCATTTAATGATTTGGCTTACTAAATCAGAAGGAGAAAATAAAAAAGCAGGCATATTCTCTCCAGATAAATAAAAAGTGACCATCTGGAATTTACAGGGTTTTTCTTTTTTTGTATAAAAAATACACATGCAAATTACAAAACAAAAATACATGCTAAGTTTAAAAATAAGTGAAAGTAAAACCAGAAATTAATTACTTTTAACTTTCACCAATAAATTTAATAAGTCCACCATTTTAAAAGATATTCTCTTTTATAGTTATCTGTAAAATAAACCAGGAGAATAAAGCAACAAGTAATTATTGGTAGCACAAAGGGAAAATAAGTACTTTTAATTCTGTTAGGTATCACTGTTAAAAATCTATATGGAAGACTTCATACTGTTTGTGAAATTTCTTTGTATCCTAAACCTCAGCTTGATGTCAATGAGCCATGAAATGAAACCTTGGAGAATTCCCGCCATACAATGATGGTCTCACCATAGCTTTTTGCTAGATACCCATGTTTCATAGACTAGCTGCTTTGAATAAGTATAGTGCTAAAGTGCTATTTCATGGATTGAAATAGAATAGAATAGAAAAGCCTACAATAAATAAGAGCTAAAATGTTACCCATGATAGTTTGTTTTCTATCAATGTGCTTCAACACAAATGTATAAATACATTTATATAATGGAGAGATAACAGTAAAGATGGCCTTCCTTTAATTTCCAATAAGGAGAAGGAGATGTTCCAATACAAAGATTTGGAAATATTTCATTTTCTTACCCAAGGCCTCTCTGATTGCAGAAAGTATTAAAGTAGAAAAGAGAAACCTGGCACAAAACCTGAGAATTTTAATTCAAATATAGATATTTCCAATTGTAATCTATGAGACAAACTACAGCAAAAACACACTCATACTAGTAGCTTCTTAATAAAAGATACAGGTAATTAACTGCATGCAAGCAAGAAATGGTCTATAGATATGCACGCTTCCACATATGCACACGGTATGTGTAAAGGGTGGAAGAAATACAAATGTAGAACTGATGGGAATATTGGAAAAACAGCCAAAATAACCTATAGTGAGTATATGATGCTTTTTCTGTGCTCATTTACGTCACACAGAAATGCCATGGTTACTTCGCTAATCCTCATTTTAAAAATGAGGAAGTTTGTGAGGTTCTTGAGAATTGAAAGTGCTTTAAGCATCCCTACACCTTTCCTCCACTATAATTAATAGAAGACTCAGTGTATACCAACACCTGATGTACTGTCCAGAACATATTATGCAAATAAAATAGATTACTTAAAAAACTGAAAGCAAATATATGTTTACTAGTGAATTAAAAAATGTATTGTTAGGACATAAGGTAGAGAAAAATAAAAACCTTAAGGATATTAAAGATAGTCATTTCCTCCCAGATTAAAAATAAAAACTTTAAGATGGCATGACTGACATTTATTCATGAAATCTTATAATATAGACCTTAATAACATATTTAAAACTTAACAGACCATGAAAAAGAAAAGTGAATTCTAATCCTAGTTCTTCCTCCAGCCTAAAGTAAGTTAATTAAATGTTGTGGGTTTTAGTTTTCCTACCAATAAAGTGAGGTTTGGGCCTAGACGGGTTCTAAGATACCTTAAAGGTTTAAATAGCTTTGATTATGTAAAATACCAAAAATTTGGTCTAGATTACTTTAGTTGAATATGAATCTTAACCAGGAGAGTAATCAAATTTTATAAATGATACCATAAGCAGACTTTAAATCCTGATGATGACCCAATATGTTCAACATTATAAACTGAACCTTCAAATATTTCTCAAGACACACAAACATCTGTGTTCCCCCCAAGATAGTTGTTTACCAAAAAGTAACTTTATTTCATTCTCAGAGTATTCAGTTTGTATTTAATTAGACACTTTAACCTTACCTCTTTCCTATTCAATCCTGTCTTCTCTATCACCAAACCATAAATTGTAATCCATTAATTCATTCTCTTCTGACTTACCATAATGTTTAAGGGAACTAGTACAAGTTTTTTAAAAATCCTTTTTATATTTTCGGACACTTTCTTGAATTTTTACAGGGTAAAACCACACAAAACTCAACAGAAAGATGTTAGCCAAAGACAACCAATGTAGAACAAAAGATATACTTTGCAGTTCAACAGTAAAAAAAAAAAAAAAAAAAAAAAAAAAAAAAAAAAAAAAAAAAAAAAAAAATTATATATATATATATATATAGTTTGTTAATGACTCAATAAAAATTATGTAATAGGAAATAATTAGCATAGGAACCAGAAAGTTACTAACAAAGTTTAAAATTTAATGTCTTTTAAAATCTTGATATTTACTGTCATGAAAAAAAAGTCAACTTGATAGCATGCAACTTTTGTTCTTTTTAATCCATCAGTATTTTAAAGGATACTTAGTACCAGAATGATGTGGGACTCTGCCACGAATTGAGCCTGGCTGCTTCCGTGAATGTAGCTCTATAAAACAAGACAAAAAAAGCAAAAAATTACAATCTAGGGAAAAACAGATCTTTTGTTGTAGGTTTTTCTTTTTATTATACTTTTAATTTTATACCATGAAGGGAAAAAACAGAAAAATCTAAGCTCCCATTTATAATTCTTTTGAATAAAACAGTTAATTGGAAATAACAAATGAATATATCAGTTGATATTACTGTAATTTGTAGAAAGCAACTTAACATCAAAAGTAAATTTCATATAACTTGTTAAAAGGTTTAACCACAGGGGCACCTGGGTGGCTCAGTGGTTGAGCATCTGCCTTCAGCTCAGATCATGATCCCGGAGTCCTGGGATCAAGTTCTGCATCAGGCTCCCTGCACGGAGCCTGCTTCTCCCTCTGTCTATGTCTCTCTCTCTCTCTGGGTCTCTCATGAATAAATAATAAAATCTTACAAAAAAAAATAAAGGCTTACCACAACATAAGCATACAATGTAATGATTATTCCACAGTTACTGTAAGATACAAATTAGAGCAACTAAGTTTATGTTTAAGGGAAAAAAATGACCTATCAAATATTAAATTGTTATTTTCCACATTATCAGAGTTTTAAAACAAGAAGATCGCTTTAAAAATGTATTTATTCCATTAGAGCATTTAAATTGGTCTTTTTCAAAAAAAATTTAAACTGCTTTACCACACTGAGAAATGTAGAGTTTCCCATACCTAGGAAGTACTATTAATAGTTGACACCAATCAATTACAGAAAACATGACACAAATCTCCATCTAATATATTCCACTAATTTTTTTTTGGTCATTTCTGCTGTTAATCTCTTATGAAAATTAACTGCTATGCAGTTGCTTTAAATATAAATCCTTTTCTAGGTTTTCTGATTATCAAAAAAAAAGTGGAGAAAAAAATAAGTAATATAAATCAGTGTCCTCAATTTTATACCACATTTGAAGCATACTTATCATTTGAGAGGACTACTTTGGTCCTCTCAAAATCTTTTGTTTTTATTTTTGACAATAAATACAGATGAAAACATATATAAGAGTATACTCTTAGGAGGAGGAACTAGGAGTCAGAAAATTATTCCTTCTTGGCCTTAATCTTGAACATGTCAACAAATTTCTTAGAAATTCAATATCCCTTCATCTATAAAATCAGAAACAGAATTAGGTGATTTCTGTGATCTTTTTGAAGTACATGAAGGCTTCTGTGTTTTGTCACAAATGGTGTTTTGGTATTTTCATTAAAGGCTGGTTTTTCTATTCTGACCTAAACAGTCTTTATTTCCATCTCTAATATCAGTAATTCATAGGGCAGCTGCCTTATTCAAAGGTATGTTGAGGTGTTCTTTAAGCCCAGCTTCAAGCAAACTGACTAAAAAAGAATCATTTCTGGTTGACTCACATTACAGCTCCTGAGGAAGCCTATTACATTTAGTGTTTTCTTCTAACTCTAACCATTTAAATGAACTTATATAAACATAAAAATAGCTTTGAAAATCATACCTTAGCTGCCAGCTAATCATTTAAGGTTTTTAACATTACTAATGAATAATAGTGAAATGATGAAAAAAAAAAACACAGAAAAACAAATAGAAACACCATAAGCTATGTTTGGCATCACTTCAAGTCTGATTAGAAACTAAGACCTCCAAAACTAAGAAAGTCTTTACCATTCTAACAGCATACTGAATACAGTATAATGAATACACCCCTACTGAGTACTAATAATAACAGCTACCATTTATCAAGCACTTAGTATTAGTCTTATATACGTCTTATATACAAAATAACAGCAGCTACCATTTATCAAGCACTTAGTCTTATATACAATATGTCATTTAACTCTAATCTACAAGAAAGGTATTTTTATTACAGCCATTGTATAGATCAGGTAACAGAGTCTTAAAGGAGGTGAATGAACTTGCCCATCTAGTATATGTAACTTCTGGCATTTGAACTTTTGGTCTGTTTGATTTCAGATCCTGAGTGATTATTCACCATACTCCCTATTTGCTGGATGTTTTGTATGTTATTCCAATGTATCTTATTAACAACCACATAAAGTTGTTGTTATCCTGTTATTTTCCAAATGAGAAACCAAGATTTGGAGAAATTAACTTGCTTAAGATTGCACAGTTAGTAAATGGTAGAATTTGCACTAAACCATGGGTCTAATGATCTCCAAGGTACACGTCTTTCCTGGCATCTTATCAAAAGAAAATCAAGGGAAACATTTCATAAAAGCTTTATCTGGCAGTTATATAATTAACTGTTGACTATTAAAGTAAATAAAGTGAATATTCACATAACTGACTAAAAATTCAAAATAACAATACTGGATAATATGTTCAGATTTATAGAACAAATGCAAGGTAGCTAGCCTGTGTTGGAATAATAAATTTAGAGAAACAAGATCATGAGATTGTCTAGATGAGTGGTTTCAAAATATTTGTGTTTAATTTTTTAAAGATTTTATTTATTTGACAAGAGAGAAGAATGCATGTGCATAAGCAGGGGGAGCCAGCAGAGGGAGAGAGAGAAGTAGGCTTTCTGCTGAGCAGGGAGTCCAATGCAGGGCTCAACCCCACGGCCCTGGGATCATGACCTGAGCAGACATTTTTCTGACTGAGCCACCCAGGTGCCCCAAAACATTTGTGTTTAAATTTTTTTTTTATTTTTATTTATGATAGTCACACAGTGAGAGAGAGGCAGAGACACAGGCAGAGGGAGAAGCAGGCTCCATGCACCGGGAGCCCGACGTGGGGTTCGATCCCGGGTCTCCAGGATCGCGCCCTGGGCCAAAGGCAAGCGCCAAACCGCTGCGCCACCCAGGGATCCCAACATTTGTGTTTAAATAAAAATTTTCTCTGGTGAATATCATCAGTAGTCTTTTATGTTTCAAATCCTATGTTCTTATTTCAGCCTTACTTTACCTGAAGAATCTGCTACATGTGATCACTCTCCTGTTTTTGTAATATTTTATTGACCTCTAGGATGCCAGCCCCCCTTTTCTTAGAAAAATTGAGGTATAATTGCGACACACAATGTTCTATTAGTAACAGGTACACAACACTAATAATGACAATTCTGTACATACTCAAAGTTCACCAAGTAAGTGTAGTCACCATCTATCACCATACAATATTAATACAATATTATTGACTATAGTGCTCATGACGTGCTGCTTTTCATCTCCATGAGTTAATTTAAACCTGAAAGTTTGTACCCCTTAATTCCCTTATCTATTTCATCCATCTCCTTCCTCACCTCAATCTGGCAACCACCAGTTTCTCCTCTATATCTAAGAGTCTGTTTCTGGTTTTTGATCCCACATATGTGGAGTCATGACATGTTTATCTTCCCTGATTTACTACAATTAGCAGAATACCCTGCAGGCCCATCCATATAGCTATGCATGGCAAAAATCTCATTTTTTATGGCTGAGTAATAGTCCACTGTGTGTGCCTATGTACAGACAACACAGCCACTTTTTTTTTTCCTTTTTCAAATAGGAATACATTTTCATTTCAACTGTTTTTATTGTGGTAAAACATGAAATGTAAAATTTACCATCTTAACCTTTTTTACCCCTCGTTATGGTAAGGCTATTCTTAATCCAATTCATCAATTTCACCTATCCTCCCACCCATTTCACCTCTGATAACCATTTACAGAGTCTGTTCTCCATTGTTAAGTCTTTTGGTTTGTCTCTTTTTTCCTTTGTTTTGTTTCTTAAATTCCACATGAGTGAAATCATAGGCTATTTGTCTTTCTCTGATGGGCTTATTTCACCTACATACTCTCTATGTCCATCCATGTTGTCACAAATGACAAGATTTCATTCATTTGATAAATGAGTAATATTCCATTGTGTATATATACCACCTTTATCATTTCATTTTTTGATGGGCACATGACCTGCTTCCATAATTTGGCTATTATAAATAATGATGCAATAAATCTAGAGGTGCATACATTTTTTTCAAATTTATGTTTCTGTTGGCCATCTGGTAGTGTTCTTTGGAGAAATGTCTGTTCAGGTCTTTTTAATGGGATTGTTTTTTGGGGTGCTGAGATGTATAAGTTCTTTATATTTTTCTTTATATATTTATATTGGATACTAATCCTTTTTTGAATGTATCATTTGCAGTAGCTTCTCCCACTCAGTAGGTTGTGTTTTAATTTTGTTGATTGTTCCCTTTGCTTGCAGAAGCTTTTTATTTCAATGAAGTCCCAATAGTTTGGTCTTGCTTTTGTTTCCCTTACCCTAGGGGACATACCTAGAAGAATGTTGCTATGGCTGATGTCAGAGAAATTACTGCCTGTGCTCTCCTCTGGAACTTCTAATTTTAGCTCAAGTCATGATCTCAGGGTGGTGCATGCACAGCAGGGAGTCTCCCTCTGCCCTTCCCTTGGCTTGCACTCTCTCCATCTAAGATAAATAAATTTATCTTTAAAAAATTGTGCTAAGATGTATTGTCTGGTCTAAGCAGTCACCATCTCTTGCTTGGATCATTGCCATATCCTCCTTTTTTTCTCTCTGCCTCTGCCCTATAGTCTATTGGCCAGTCAGATTAATCCTGCTAAAACTAATGAGAATTTATCATTACCCTACTCAGAAATCTTCAATTCTTAAATGTGTGAGAACAATATTATATGATGTAATCTATTTTCTGCTTCTAATCACAATTCCAAAGAATCTACATATCTCTACCTAATTAAAAAATACAGCTACAAAAAGAAATCTAAAGTTGGTCTTTAGAAACTTACTTTACTATATCTGATCTATAATACTCGTAGGCTTACTTATATATATGAAGCAATACAGAGTAAAGGCTTGGAGATAGTCCTGAATCTGCTAACTTGCTAGCTGTGTTATCGTGAACAAATTAAATTACTTAACCTTTCATCTTTAATAGGAATAGGAAGATATTACTCAAAATATTGTCTTAAAAAGTCAGATAATGTCATTGTAAGTAATAAGCATAGCATCTGGCTTTCTT